TCATACTTACCTCAATCCCACAATGCCATCGTATTATTAAATGGTTGCCAAGATGTTCGGAGGGTTTTTGATGCACTGGTATGTGGCTGCTAATGTGTTTTGTGTTCACACTTGTAGTGCAGTTCTGCCAGACCCCATGAATGTGGTCCTGGTTTGCCTGGCATTCACACTGACATAAAACAACAACAAAATGGATTTTGCTGTGCATATTTTGCAACTGAGCACATAAAACAATCCTGTGGGCAGCGCTGAATGTGCTTCATTAGATGTGAATATGTTACAGTATCTTTTCTTTAATTGAGAGCTGTCAAACTTCTGCCAGAAATTTCACTTTCACACACAACATCACAATTACATGTATAAAGAAAAATGTGAAAAATGACACTTGAGCACTTATTTTTATGGTCGCAACTTGTGACTATGTCCTGTTTTGGGTTCATTTAGATGTCTTTGGTTCATGATGCGTTTATATTTGATTTAAAACCACACCAGAGTTTGTTTAAATCTTTTCTTCAGTTGCTGCTTGTTTTTTGTACACAAGTTCTGAGTGTAGAATTCACAATCTAATTTTAATTAATTTTAATGTACCTAAACTAAATAAGTATGAACACGTCTTTTAGCGCATTACCATGTGGTTAGTTTAAGGCCTCTTTGGTAAATTGGTGGCTCCTAACTAAGGTGTTGTGAGTTCTTTGATGAATAATTTTGTCAACAGCATTTTTTTTTTTCAATGACAAAAACGAAACCACTAAGGTCTTCCCACACTAATTGCTTTTTGTTTGAAAACGCATACTTTTATCTCCCATTTGGCCTCCTGTCCACACTAAAGGCCAATTCACACTGCCCCAGCAGATGGAAATAGACACTTGGTCATGTTTTGTCGGATCATGTGTTAGCATCTGTCAGAGCTAGTTTTCGCCCATTGAACATGCTGAGTCAACACTTGTCGGGTCATAGAACATCTGAGAAGTGACATGCTGTAATCTGAGGACTGTCTGCATCCCAGCAAGCAATTTGGTCCTTATGAACATCTAAACATAAACGTCTTAGCTAAGAGGATCTCCTGTTTTTGATTCATTTTCAATCAGTTTGTGAATTCAGTGAATCATTAGTGTTTACTCATTCTGAATAGATTGTTTGAATCAGTAAATCATTAACTGCAGATTCACTTTGAGAGAATCATTTGATTGAGTGAATTTAGTCAATCAGATTGATCACTATTTAATAATGCTTTGTGAACAGATTTAGCAGGTTATCTGACAAGATTCATCTGGTTCATTATGTTTGATAGCGTAATTGTCTAATAGACATCTAAACATAGACGTTTTCGCTAAAATGTGTCTAAATCTGTGAAAATCTCATAGACATCTGACAAGATTCCAAAAATAGACTAATCAAACAGACTGACTTCACATATATTGTTGTTCATTCCTGTGTATTTGATGACGAGTATGTTTTAGACTATACTTCTATTAGATTTTCACTGACAGCCCAATTTTAGCCAAAATGTCCATTTTTGGACATCTATTAGACATCTTTTACACACCAAAATTGATTGCTGGGATATGTATGTGCACTGATCTTTATAACAGATTAACAAATCTGTTAAAATACTATATTAGATTTTCACTGACTGCTCAAATTTAGCCTTGTTTAAGCCAACATGACATGTCTGTTTTTGGACATCTATTAGACATCTATTACACACCAAAAATGCTTGCTGGGATATGTCTGGTAACTAATGTTCATTATGGATTAAGAAACAGCTCGAGTTTCACAACGGTTTATAAACATCTGAAAATTGTGACCGAAATATGATTTTATTTACAGTAATAAAGCTAAAATTCTGCACTAGAATTGTTCATTTTGCTCCATTGAACACTTATGCTAAAAGATTCTTTGAATCGGTGAGTCGTTAACTGCAGACTCTCTTTGGGAATCATTTGAATGAGCGTATCAGTTGAGACGCAATCAAACCGGTCACTATTTAATAATAATTAGCAGATTATCTGACAAGACTCAGCTCATTCATGATGTTTGATAGCGTAATTGTCTAATAGACATCTAAACATATACATCTTCGCTAAAATGAGGCTTAATCTGTGAAAATCTAACAGACAACTGATAATATCCCAAAAATAGACTAATCAAACAGACAGACTTCACATGAATTGTGGTTCATGCCTTTGTCTTTGATGACGAGTCTGTTTTAGACTATACATCTATTAGATTTTCACTGACAGCCCAAATTTAGCCTGGTTTTAGCCAACATGTCTGCTTTTGGACATCTATTAGACATCTATTATACACCAAAATGCTTGCTGGGATATGTCTGTGCATTGATGTTGGTTATAGATTTAGAAACAGCTTGAGCTTTCACAACAGTTCATAAACATTTGAAAATTGTGACCTAAATAAGATTTTATTTACAGTAATAAAGCTAAAATTCAGCACTAGAAATGCTCGTTTTGCTCCATTAAATGCTTATGCTAAAAGATTCTTTGAATCAGTGAGTCGTGAACTGCAATCTCTCTTTGAGAGAATCATTTGAATGAGCGAATCAGTTGAGACGCAATCAGACCGGTCACTATTTAATAATGATTTGTGACCAGATTTTAAAGGTTATCCGACAAGATCCAGCTCGTTCAGGATGTTTAATAGCATAATTTAAAGGTTTTAGTCAGTTCAATGGCAATGAGCAACTCCCAAATTTCGTACATGAAAACGTTTTTAAATGCAATCCAGATTTGTAAATGTAGCCTGTATGAAAAGCTGTTGTGAAAGGACGAAAACTATGATGTGAATCTCTTGACATTTTGGTCAATGAATAAAAATGAGACAAAAATGCTAGGGAGGGACAATTTGGGAAGAGAGCCAATGTAGAGTTTATCTCCTGTGTATCAGGAAGGTTAGACGTTCACATATGAACTGGAACGCATCCTACTGATCTACACTCTGGGACATAAATTACAAAACATGTAATAACAGGTGCAATAAAACATTCACAACTGTCAACAGCTGGGTGAAAGAGTAGAGCAGATATATGGATACATTGGAAATGACGAAACATTTGTATGCTTTGACAGCAAACAAACGCTAAACCAATATCTCATTTTAATGGACAAAAATGCCAATTGTTTGTTTGTTTGAGTTTCACGTAGTCTCAGCTTCAATGTATTATAAAAGACATACACACAGCGGCCACTTTATTAGGTACACCTTACTAGTACCTCCTTTGACCACTTATTGCCTTCAGAACTGCCTTAATCCTTTGTGGCATAGATTCAACAAGGTACTGGAAATATTCCTCAGAGATTTTGGTCCATATTGACCATTTTCGACCAGATTTGTTGGCTGCACATCCAGGATGTGAATCTCCAATTCCACCACATCCTAAAGGTGCTCTATTGGATTGTGATCTGGTGACTGTGGAGGCCATTTAAGTACAGTGAACTTGTTGTCATGTTCAAAAAACCAGTCTGAGATCACGTTTTATGACATTGCGTGTTATCCTGCTGGAAGCAGCCATCAGAAGATGGTTACACTGTGGTCATAAAAGGATAGACATGATCAGCAACAATACTCAACTGGTTCTAATGTGGCCAAAATGTGCCAAGAAAATATCCCCAACACTATCATACCATCGCCACCAGCCTAAACTGTTGATACTAGGCAGGATGGATCCATGCTTTTATGTTGTTGACGTCAAATTCCGACCCAATTTTGGTGAGCCTGTGCGAATTGTAGTTTCACGTCTCTGTTCTTAGCCGACAGGAGTGGCATCCAGTGTTCTGCTGCTGTAGCCCATCTGCTTCAAGGTTGGATGTGTTGTGCGTTCAGAGATGCTCTTCTGCATACATCGGTTATAACGAGTGGTATTTGAGTTACTGTTGCCTTTCTATCAGCTTGAACCAGTCTGGCCATTCTCCTCTGACCTCTGGCATCAACAAGGCATTTGCGACCACAGGACTGGATATTTTCTCTTTTTCAGACTATTCTCTGTAAACCCTAAAGATGGTTGTGTGTGAAAATCCCAGTAGATCAGCAGTTTTTGAAAAACTCAGACCAGCATTTCTAGCACAAACAACCATGCCACGTTCAAAGTCACTTAAATCAACTTTCTTACCCAGTTAGACGAGCAGTTGGAGAGGTGTACCTAATAAAGTGGCCAGTAAATGTAAAATATGAGTTTTTACAATTAATTTTTGCTAAAAAAACTCTAAAACTTAAAACTAAGTAGATTGTCAAATTGATCTGTCAAATATTCACATCAACAGTTATTTAGTCAACACCTATTTCATTAACAGTATTTAGCAAGTGAAGATTAAGTTTTAATTCATAGGCCAACATCTCAATTGTAATATCATTACAAATAAATAGTAAATAACATTACAATAAGCTGCAATTTTTTCATATGTGGTCTTTATAAGCTTTTTGTCTCTTTCGATCAGTTGCAGAAGACTTGGCTTAAGTTTTAAAGCATAATCTCCGCAGGAGAAGTAATGTGCCAAAGTTTAATCCTCGCTTTTATAGTTTGTTCTAAACTTACAACCGCAAGTACATAATTGTGATGCCTGTTTTAGCAAAACACAACTAATAAAGTAAAATTAACCTGAACCAAAGAATTATGAGGGTGTGTGACTCGTTCAAAGACTCGCATACAATTATACTCTAAATCATCTGTGAACAATCTCCTCAAACAAAACAAAACCAGAGACAAATAAATTCACACTGTTGCAACTTCAAGCAGCATTTGGGGGTTTTCAAAAGTAAACATTCGTGATAAAAAAGTAGCAAAAAAACGTTATTAAAACGCTGGCCTTCAAAAGGTGAGAGAAAGTCAGCGTTCAGAGGCAATATCAAATAAGACTCTCCCCACAATCCTGCGGTGTTTTAAGAGACCCTCAGCAATTTCCTTCAAATACCACATTTAACACAAACCAGTGTGGGGCTGCTTCGACAGCCACCAGAACCATTTGAGATTTCACTGAATAAAATGCTCATGTTTCTGGAATTTTAATGTCCTTAATACTTTGATTATGCAAGATAATTTAAAAAAAATATGAAGAATTTAAACCCACAAGTGATTCTTTATACATCTGAGCTATAAACGCAAGCCATATGACCTCCAGATGGATATAGTCTGCATTTTGGATTTATTCAAATGAACAAACGCTCCTTTGACAATGTGACGGAAATCGATCACGTACAAATACTGCAATAGAAAACATAATCTGTGCAAAATAAATACATATTACAGTTAACATCTCTTATCAACAATAAAAAGAGACAAACTCTTTATCTCCGAGGAGTGCTTTGGAATAAATTATTTTAGCAATAACAGCATCACCTTTCTTTTTTTGGTGAGAAAAATCACAGGTTTCTTCAGATATATGTCGTAAACACACTCGCTGACGCCCGTTTACTCAGGTTTAGCATTTGTCCTCATCCCTAAACCGGCTGTTTGCGTACAAATGCCAACTAAACAGCTGTTTACATGCTGTTTGTTTGCCTCCCTGAGTTGAGAAGTGGAAGTCCAGGTTCTCCAGATAAGAACGTAGGAGGTCCTGTTTTACATTACAACATTTCATTTGGTCCCGGTCCTGGCTCAGCTCCTTCTGCACCAATCAAGGCTTGGGTTACAGTGCAAAGAGGCTCAGCACCCACCCGGATTGCAGGAATGAGTGAAAGTCCTCCGTGCCAAGACTCTCCAATAACCCCACCGTGTGACACAGAGGAGACCTTTGTGAAACGATCCTTCCACTGACCACTGAACACTGTTTAATTAACCTTTTCTCCTCTCCCTCCTCCCATATTCCCATGTTTTCCTTAGCAGGGCAAAAGAGAAAAGCATAATCTCCCACACAAACACCTTTTCTTTCAGTAATCAGAGTGCAAGAATTTCTTTTTTCCTCTGCTCTATTATAATTGTGCCGTTGTTTAAAGACGGGACCGGAAAAAGTCTAAGAGTGGAAGGCGGTCGGGACTGCGTGCCGGTGCTTGTCGGGGGACATCCTGGCGACCGGGAGCCCAGACGAGCAGGAGCGAATGGGAACAATAGCCCTGCAAGACCTCCCTGCCCGAGTTCCAGCTCCCGGGAATTACGGCGAGCCGGGAAAGAGTCAGAGTTTAGACCTGGCATGAAAAGAGTTGAATGCCATTAATAGGCTATAAACAACCCAAATGCCATTGCAGGGAGCAAAAAAAACTGAAGGGTGGAGGGTTTTTCTACATTAACAATAAAAAAAAAGTCAAGTGACCATGCCAAAGAAGGGGTCTGCGTACAAGTTTAGCCTTTCATTTCAGGGAGGATCTCGTTATGTCATGATCGGATCCTCACAGCCAAACAAGGGAGGTGCCGAAAGATGCTTTACAGAGGTTGCTTGAGGACGACAGTTGCGGTTACATAGGAAAGACGAGCGAGGGTGATGGACAGACGAGTGGATTCGCATCTCTAAAGACTGCGCTGAATGGTCCAGGTGCTCAATATGAGCATGAAAAAGTCCCTAATGTAATGACATGAGAGAATACCGCAACACACCCAGAGAGAAAAGCGAGCCAAGAATCAATCAGATGGTGCAGAATGTCCAGATTGGTCAATCTGGGAGACAGTGCCTCTTGCTGGGAGCAAACAGAAACTACAGACTGATTCATTTGGGGAGCAGAGTGAAAATTGGAAAAAACATAAGCCCCTTGTTAGACTAAGCAAGAGAGAGACAGAGGTAGAACCAGGGCATTTTAACTTAATATGAACTACCGAAGGCATCCAAAGGCACTTTCTTACTTCTGCAGAACACAAATGGAAAGATTTCAGAGAATGTTGGCACCCAAACTGTGTGTGTTCCACTGAAGACAGAGTCAAACAGGTTTAGTAAAGGACTACAGATTTGGTTACATCCTTTAAGGCACCTTTTGTCATAATATCAAAACTCACTTTATTTAATTTAAGATAAAGGGATAGTTCATCCAAAACTGAAAATTCTCTCATCATGTATTCACCCTCAACTTATTCCAAACCTGTTTAAGTTTCTTACTTGTATTGAACACTAAAGGAGATATTTTGCAGAATGATTCAAACCTGTAACCATTGACTTCAATAGTATTAGCTTTCCCTTCTATGAAAGGAAAGTTTACAATTTCATCTTTCTTTATAAGAGCTTCTTTAGTGTTCAATAGAAGATAGAAACCCATAAAAGTTTGGAACCTCTTGAGATTGAGGAAATATTAAGTATTTTTGGTTAAAGCATGCCTCCAAAATGTACATTTAGACTATATTTAGATTCTTTAGTACATTTAAACCCTCTCAAACAGGTAAGACTAGGCGCCTCTCTGACTTTTGAACATGATGCACCAAATTTCAGCGCACTTCAAGAAGACATCTTCCCACAGGGATCACTCGACACACGCAGGTTCAGACAAGACACCATGAGCGCACGTTCCCCAGATCATCAGAGGAATGTTCTCACCCTTCTGAAGTTCCTCTCGAGATCAGACGTCACTCCAGGGATGGAATCCCTGTTAAAAAAATAGCTTAATCTACTCGTTTTGCTGACCTTGGTTTAAGAGGATCTTGGCTAGCTGGTCTTGTTACCTGGTAAATGTCTAAAACCAGTAACCCAGATCAACCTGAAAGACCATCTTCAAAGAAATGGTTAACTCAGAAGTTTAGATGTATGCCCCATCTGCTCATCCTCAAGTAATTCCAAACATTCTTGTTGGATAGATATTTTTTGTTAGTAAATATTTTGAAGAATTTTGAAAAAAGTAGCCACACACATCTAAAGTATAGCGAAAATGCTATAAAATAAAAAAAAAAAAATTGGAAAAATCAGCAAGAAAAGAAGAAGTGTTTTCAATTTTGGGTGAACTATCCTTGTTAAACTATCGCAGTTGGTCTCCCAGCTTTGTATATGTGCAAAACCAGCAACCAAGACCAGCCCAAGAGCCTTGTAACCATCTTAAGAATACTTTACATTCAAATAAATGAACATAGAGCCACCCCAAAAAATTGTTGATCCCAAAAATATATGTCTTGGCAGGAATCAGAGCTGGTCCACATTCAGTAAGTTCTGATGGCAAAAGCTGAGATATGGCCCAATAGGTTCACAGGTGTGAGAGGACAGTATTCCTCACATTATATACGTCCCTCTGGCCTCCAGACAGGCTAAACAGCTCTTGTCTAAACATGTCCAGTTCTGGAGTAACGATAAGCTGCCTTGGGCCACTTTCACACCACTCTATAACAGTACCTCAGCAAGACACACAAACACACACAAACATACACACACACACACACACACACACACACACACACTAACCACATGATAGTTTAGTCCTCGGTGTGTGTGTGTGTGTGTGTGTGTGTGTGTGTGTGTGTGTCCTCTCTGTCCAATCCTGAGAGTCTTCAGTTGAAGAGGATTGAATCCGGGTCTCTGTTAGCCATCTGCGCCATGTGCTTAAGAATGTCCTTTTTAGTGATGATTCCCAGCAAACGCCTAAAAAATAAAATAAAAAACATCATAAGAGTGTGAGAAAAGAGATTCTTGCCATTAATTAATTCAAATTGCTGATCTGTCAAGTCATACATATCAAAGAAAAAAACCTAATGAACAGATGGTCCTGCTTAGCATATGCATGAGAATCACCATGTTTGCATCAAGTTTCAAGGCCATGTGTACAAAGAGTGCGTGTGTGCGTTTCCAGAGTTCTCTCTCGTTTTATATGATGTCATTTCCTTTTATTGTGCTTGATAGACTTGAAGGGAGGATCACAAGGACTGAGAAAGACCAACAGCCATGCTGATCCGCTAGACATCGGGAGATGATTAACACACACACACACTTTAAAAGGCAAAACAACTGCAGAGAGAATCAGCTTCAGCTGTTTTGAACAAATATGGTAGAGAACGCTCTTATAAGAAAGGACCTTTGTGGAATCTTAAAGAAAAACACTTCACGCCAAAAAATTAGGTCTGCAGTCATCTACTCACCTTCATGTATTTCCAAACCCTTAAGAGTGTTATTCAGTGGACGGCAAATGTTTTTAATCAAATCCCTGAGATTTGGGTTTCTTCATTGAAATACTGTTTAACAAAATGTAAAGAGATGAAGGAGGAAAACTGAGAAATGAATTCCAAGTCTTCTGAAGTGACACAACCACTTTATATGATTCATTTAGAATATTATTAACCGAAAAACATTGTGAATGCTTGATGATGCACGAGAACCAGTGGAGTTGATTGTAGAATGTCACACAGCAAAGACCATTGAGGTTTGCTCTTGTTGAGCTGTTTTTGTTTGTTAACGAACGTTTTAAATGTCATTAAAGACTATGTTCATTTATTTTCTTACAGCTTAGTCCCTTATTTATCAGGCGTCGCCACAGCGGAATGCACCGTCAACTATTCCAACATATGTTTTATGCAGCGGATGCAACCTAGTACTGGGAAACACTGATACACTCTTGCATTCACACACACGCACACGCACACACAGACACAGACACAGACAGACACACAGGCCAATTTTGTTTACCTAATTCACCTATAGCACATGTACTCAACCCAGCTACCTTCTTGCTGTAAGGTGACAGAGCTAACCACTGAGCCACCTTGCCACCGAAAAAACACTGTTACATAATATAAAGCAATTAAGTGTTCTCTGAAGACAAAGACTTGAAACTTTAAGGAGACTTTCAATGAAGATGTATAAATCTCTCAGTGAGATCTGATTAAATAAAAAAAAAAAAAATCTACTTTTGTTAGTGTATTACTACTGTATGTGTTTGGATGCATGAAATGTATGGATGGCATTATGAAACATTTTTTTTTAATTGTTGCAAATGTCTTGTTGTGAATGTCCTTGAGTGGTCCAGCCAGAGCCCGACCTAAATCCTATTGAACATCTCTGGAGAGATCCCAAAATAGCTGTACACCTTTGCTTCCTATCCAGTCTGATAGAGCTTTGAGAGATACTGCAAAGAGCAATGGGCAAAAATTCCCAAAGACAGGTGTGCCAAGCTTGTGGCATCATATTTAAAAAGACTTGAGGCTGTAATTTCTGCCAAAAATGCATCAACAAAGTATTGAGCAAAGGCTGTGATGATTATGTACATGTGATTTTTCAGGTTTTTTATTCGTAAAAAAATTGCAGCAATTTCAAATAATCTTTTTTTCACATTGTCATCATGGGGAAATGTGTGTAGAATTTTAAGGAAATAAATGAATTTAATCCATTTTTGGAATAAGGCTGTGACATAAAAAAATGTGGAAAAAGTAAAGCGCTTTGATTATTTTTCAGATGCACTGCAAATGTAGCTATAATATATTATTGAGTTATATATTAATATGTCTTTACAGATACATTTCTAAATTGGTATAAATAATTATAATTAATTATAACTTTGTTTATGGTTATTCACAAGCATGAGCTTCAAAGAAAGGGTAACCATTTTTCTTAAGGGTCTTGAATGACATGTAGACTAAAATGTTAATTTTGGGGTGATCTAATCAATTAAACTTTTTAACCACTGTCATCCATAGCAGGAAAAAAAAAATTGTATGTTGAAATCAATGGTTACAGGTTTCCAACATTCTTCAAAATATCTTCTCTTTAGAGCAAAAAAAAGTAATTAAAGATTGCAGAATTTGAATTTTTTTGTGTGAACTATCCCTTAAATATTGAATTTAAGGTGAAAAAAGGTGCTGAGATTGTTCTATGAAGTCAATGCTACATATGATGTTCTGTGCATATCTTGGTTTGGTTTATTTATTTGTGTAACGTCATTCACAATACATATTGTTTCTAAGTGGCTAGTGAGTGAGAGCATTGAGGAAAAACCCCTCAAGATGTTTATGAAGTGGTCGATGCAGAGAAACTCTTGGGAGGAACAAAGGCTCAGCTAGGGAAGCCATCCTGCTTGGATTGGCGCATACTTAAACACTGTTTAACAAATGTAATCTAAACTGCAACGTGGATACAACAGCTCTATTCTCAAACAAACTTCTAACACAGCAAATCTTAAACAACCATCAAGGTTCCACTTAAACTGTGGTAAAACCTCATGAATGACTAATCTGAAATTTGAAAATGTGGGTAGCAACATCACAAAAACATGCGACTCCAACAGAGTATGAAATAAGAAAACCCGCCAGAATTTTACTGGTACTTTTATAATAACAAAGCACAAGACATTTAAAACACAATGGTTTTTAGCTGGTTTAAAGCTGTTTTTATCTTATTTTAAAGCTTTTTGGGTCATCTTGCGCTCTCTAGTGGGCTCTGGCTCCTGCTTGAGAATCACTTAAGTATAGCAAACAAATATACAGTAAATCTGGGCTCACACTACAGGGGATTTAACACAATTAATCCCTCCTGACAAAATCGGACAAAAAGATGTCCAGAACATTATGTACAGCACAGCTTATCTGGTAATGTAAGGCACTTACAGATCAAATCCTAAACCTCACAATCTGTTCACATTGGCCTCCCTATCATATCCAACATATTATATATTTGGAAATTTTAATTGGATGATTGTATTCATGATTAGTTCAGCCTTTCTATAATAGCCAATGGGCAACCGCAAAACAAGATACTGTATGGGTCTGTTGGACGACAGAGGTTGAATAATTGCTTGTGAAAGATTGGCAACAACACAACTGTCTGTATAATGTGTCTTGGAAAATCTACAATAACTGAAAAAAACAAAAGAAGTACTGGAGAGAAAGCTAGAAATCATGTTAAGTAATATCTCCAGGCATGAAAATCTTAATATAGTTTCCTTTAACATTTTGACTGCACTCGATATTGCTCGAGTAGGTACAACAATTGAATTTGAATTTATTAAATGACTGTTAAAAAAAGTATGCTCTATATATGAAGCCAGATCAGTCTCAAAAATAAAAAATTTACAATTCACAATTCACATTTACAAAATTTATTTAGGAAATTCTAAATGCGATTCATAAATGTGCAACTCCAATTTGTAAATTAAAAAAGTGATTTATAAATTAAATAATCTAATTTGTAAATTTAAAACACAATTAATAAATACCAAAATCTAATTGGTGATTTCAAAACACGATTCATAAACGCACAAATCCAATTCATAATTTTAGAATGCAATTCATAGATGCACAAATAAAATTAGGTAATTCAAAATCTAATTCATGAATGCACAAATCCAATTGGTGACTTCAAAACACGATTCATAAACGCACAAATCTAATTCATAATTAAGACACAAATTATGAATGCACAAATCCAATTGGTAAATTCAAAACACAATTCATAAATGCCGAAATCCAATTCGTAAATTCAAAACACGATTCATAAATGCCGAAATCCAATTCGTGAATTCAAAACATGATTCATAAACAAGCAAATCTCATTCGTAAATTCAAAACAGGATTAGTAGTAGATCAGAAGTAGTAGATCATCTAGGTATTTCTCGCATACTATTTTTCAAATACTATGAATATACGAACATACTTCATTTGAACTGCATTCATACAGCCTTAAAGGAGACTTGAATGCTGAAATGTTTGCTCCTTAGTCCAGTTATTGGGAAGAAGAAAAAAAACAGCCCTATTTTGTTTTTATTGTGGCAGTAAACTGAATAAATTTAGTAACCCTGCATCTCATCCATTGCTTTAAATGGGCCACACAAGACACACATTCACACTCACCCATTTTGAGTGACAAGGCACTGCCGCAGGCCGAGTTTGCGGAAGATGTCCACCACGATCTCCATTGGCGTATGCACGGTGACCGTGAAGGGGCTGAGGTCCAGAATACTGCGCAGTTTGACCGCAGGAGGAGCATTTGGGGACGCGGGTGGATCACATTCTGTAAACAGGACTGCAGATACACTCACCACACCCTCCTGATGCCGCCGTGCATTTTCTAAAACAAAAGAAAATAAGACATTTACTTGGAGAAACTACGTAAAAGTTTAATTGGCACAACCTCTGTTGCAGCCCACAGACCGCTCACAAAACATCATGTTGCACACAACACTGGCAAGAACTGGCTGAAATCACTGGCTCCAATCTGATTGGCTGACTGCTCCAAAACACTTTGGTCAGGGTACACAGCTTTCTAATCAGCCAAGGAGGAAACAAAGTTGCACTTACAAGGCGCCATACTGACAAGATCTCAGCGGTACTTTTTGACAGATATGCAACAGTTTGGTTTGAAACATTTAGTAGCAAGAAACGGAGATATCCTCAGGCACAACTTGATCTCCTTAAATGTCAGGAGGTTGGGAACTGTTCAGAGACTGTGGTTGGTTGTATCAGTCAGTTGGCTGGTTTGTGAGACTCCCAAGTCAAACTGATGTCATGCTGGTCTGTGAGCAATTTTTCACACAAACAGCCTTACTCTGTTTGCCTCCAATTCCTTAAAAACACCACTAACTATAATTGTTAGCAAAACTATCATAACTGTTAGAAAACATACAAGCGGAATACAAGAGTGCTAATAGCAAGCTGTGTTTACATTAATCTCCTGGTGTGGAACCCACATGCACTCTTCTTCAAGTGCATTTGACAAACAAGCCTTCAGCTTCTTCTGCTGTTTAAAACTAAGCAAACAATTGATTCAAGAGTGAAAAGCGATGCATTTTGAATATTTCAGAAACTATAGAGAATTGATTTCCCGAATGATCTCTCGCCACATACCTAGTCGCATTGGCTCATTCATTTCATTTATATAAAATTTATTTCCAGGCCTAAAACCCATCTAGAAATATCCAAATCCATGTTTATTTCCTGTTTAGATGGCAATGGAACACATCCGATCTGTCTCACAAATGAGTAAAAAAAACTGGATTGGGGTCATATTAATTGACTGTGTAAATAGTTCTTCGGTTATTCTTAATAATCTAAAATATTAATTTAAAATTTAGTTTATCTTATTTATTTAGAAAAAAAAATTTCAAGTTTATTTATTTATTGCCACATCAGCAACTTATGGCTATTTCATGACAAGTTCAATTTAGATAAAACATATTACACAATAATAATAATAACAGCAGTGTTGGGCAGTAGCTAAGCTGTTTTATTAGTCAAGCAGTACAGTAGTGTCCACCCAAGCTACATTTACCAATCGCAGATCAATAAGTGATGGCACCGACATTCACGGAGCTGTGAGGCCAGTGTCTAGCCGATGAAAGTAAATCTATATGATGGTGAGAATGACGATTTCTTCCTCCTGTTTTACGGTGTTAAATAAACCTTTTGGTGGTTACTGCCACCTCTCGCTCTGTTCAGTGACATCACCAACAAATTAGGCTAACATGAGAAATTTGCTAAATGGAAAGAGGGAGAGGAGGTCTAATATATATATATATATATATATATATATAATTCCCTGTAGTAAAAGCTAAAGTATACTATTGTATACTAATGTATACTAAAGTATGCAAATGGTAATTACTATTAGTTAATTAGTTCATGTTAGTCAAAAATGTAAAAAAAAAATATTGATTTAGTTTGTTTTCAAAGGAAAAAAAATATATGAAGCAAAAAAAAAAACTTCCTGGTAATAATCAAAAATGATTTATTAATTGAGAGGAGAGATATCATTTTAGAAGTCAGGGTATATGCAAAAGCCCTAAAGATAATTTCAATACAGTTTTAGGACTTTTTAAAGTATTAAACCTTTAACTTAATAAACAGTTGTTTTTATCTGTTTATTAAACTTTTACAGATAAAACAAAGTAGTTTTACAGAGAAATTTAAACAAATATTATTCCCACCCTACCCTCTAAACAAGTTAAAATGACATTTATCTAAGAAAGAAAAGAAAAAATAAATAATTACAAATTTAAATAAATAAAAACTATTTAAATAAATAAAAAATACTTAATTAAAAATAAAATAAATCAATAATAAAAAAATTAAAACTGTACAGAATACACATATACCTTGATAATCCATTATTACAAACATAAATCAAAAAATACAATGTACTTCATTACAATGTTTGCTTTGCAATTGAAAGGCCCTAAGATTTAGATTGACAGTTTGTAGAGATACTGACATGCTCAGAAAAAAAAATTCTAAATGGGTCCCATGTAAAAAAGCCCTAGTGTTGCCTTTTATTGTAAACCTGATTTTTTCCAAATGGATGAAGCTTATTGCATCTTGCAACCAGTTGTCAAAACTCAGGGGAAATCTTTGTTTCCATTTTAAAAGAATACACCGTCTTGCTAACTGTGTGAAAAACGCAAGGGCATTTGCAGTACAGCTCGATAACCCTGCTATATTCAATGTTGCATGCGTTCATACAACATTACAAAGTTTTCCGTTTTATTAAATTCTGAAACAAACTAGGTTTAGAGCTCAAGCGATGGTAAGAGTGACATTGGTTCAAAAAGCAGAATAAACATATGGTCTTCACAACGTATATGGAAAAAGAACTGATTTGATTTGTGTTCCAGTAGTTTATTTAGTCATACATAAGTAAAAACAGTGTATTAGGATGGGAAAGAGAATGAGTTAACTTGATTATTGCTATGAATTATTATTTACTGTAATGGATTTATACTTATTATTAATGTTGAGTGGAAAAGGGGAGAGACTAAATATAGCATATGCTTATTCCAACTCCATTTCTGACATAAACAAGTTCAAATTGATTTGTGTAGTAAAACTGATTTGTATTGCATCATATTATTTTTCTTTGTTTATAAACATAATTGTAGTTATTTAGCATGTTTAAATGTACATGTTTGAAATAAAGACAATAAGAGATGATACTGGTTTAATAAATAAATTGCAAAAATGCATATTAAAAACAAGCCTTTTCAGTTTAAAAAAAGCTGTTAAAGTCAAAATTATTATTTCCCAATAATTAACATTTCTCAAATTGTGTTTAAAAGGAGCATTAAATGTTTCATGGTATTTCCTATAATATTTTTTCTTCTGAAGAAAGTCTTAATTGTTTTATTTGGGCTAGAATAACAGTAGTTCTTTTTTTATCATTTAGGGACAATTATTTGCCCCCTTCAGCAATATTTTTTTAATTGTCTAAAGAACAAATCAACGTTATGTAAAAATTTGCATAATTACCCTAACTGAACCTAATTAACCATTTAAAGAAATAAAACAAATCAGTTATTAGAAGTTAGATATTAAAGCTATTATGTTTAGAAATGTGTTGACATAAATCTTTCTGTTAAATAGAAATTGGGGAAAAATATACAGGTGCTGGGCTGATAATTTAAGAAGGCAAAAAAAAAACTGACTTTAACTGTGTGTAAAGGAACCAATTGAAAAAAAAAACACTGACCTAAAGAAATGATGAGATCCCTCCTCAATACAAAGCCCACGAGTCTCTGAGACGTCAGTGAGAGGACCACAGGGAAGCCGCTGTAGGTGGTGTCTGCAATGAGTCTTTCCACCTCCTCCACACTCATACCGCTCTGTGTGAGCACTGACAGTGGCGGGTCGCTCCGTCGGGGACGCATCACATCTGTGGCAAGAGTCTTGTGGCGAAATTCCTCCTTGGCTTCTAGGAAGGGGTAGCCATTGAGACGGATGTGGGCTTCATAGATGCTCTCGCGACCAAAGGCATCCGCAACCCATTTGCTGGTCATCGCAGCAGCCATAAGAGGTACAATGTACTCTAAACCCCCCGTCAGCTCAAACATGATGACCACCAGAGAGACCGTCATACGGGTCACTCCACCTAGAGCAGGAAAAGAGAAAACAAAATTCTAAATTATAGACAACAGTGATTTAACAGGTTAGAAAAACAAATGTTAGGAACTAACAACATTTTCAATGCATGCGTTTCATAGCAAATATGCACCAGTTATATGGTTGTGTGTGAAACGTAAACTATAGCTGACATATAGAACAGGAAAAAAGATTCATTCTCAGTTTTTGTTCAAATTGGGGACTGCAATTTTCTTTAAAAAGTCCTAGTAGACATCTTGGACAAAAAAATGTTACAAAAAAGTTCACAAATGTCATTTTTTTAAATGATCTGAATAAATTATTCAGTAAATTAATGAAAACGTTACATTACAAAATGCATACAACCCCCCCCCCAAAAATTACAAAAACCTAAATTAATAGGCATAAAATGGGCAAAAAATTTATCACATCCAAATTAAAAGTTTTAATTTAAGTGTGAGTACTGCGTATGTCTATTAAGTATATATAAATACACACATGCATGCATATATTTGAGAAAATGTTATTTATATTTAAATATAAAATATATATATATATATGTATAGTACAGTATGTATAGTATGTTTATTATACAAATTACATATACATTTTAATTATTATGTAACAAAGTTGTTTTGTATAGTTCGGTTTCTTTGTATGTGTGTGTATCCCATATCATAATAGATATACACTCACCACTCAATTTATTAGGTACACCTGTTCAACTGCTCGTTAACGCAAACTTCTAATCAGCCAATCAAATGGCAGCAACTGAATGCATTTAGGCATATAGACATGGTTAAAACAATCTGCTGCAGTTCAAACCGGGCATCAGAATGGGGAAGAAAGGTCATTTAGGTGACTTTGAACGTGCAATAGTTACTTGTGCCAGACGGACTGGTCTGAGTATTTCATAAACTGCTGATTTTCTGGGAGTTTTACGCACAACCATTTCTAGAGTTTACAGAGAATGGTTCGATAAAGAGAAACTATCCAGTGAGCGACAGTTCTGTGTGTGCAAATGTCTTGCTGATGTCAGAGGTCAGAGGAGAATGGCCAGAATGGTTCAAGCAGATAGAAAGACAACAGTAACTCAAATAACAACTCGTTACAACTGAGGTATGCAGAAGAGCATCTCTGAACGCACAACATGTCTAACCTTGAGGCAGGTAGGCTACAGCAGCAGAAGACCAATTCGGGTCACTTAAAATTACACAATAGAAGATTAGAAAGATGTGCCTGGTCTGATGAGTCTCGATTTCTGCTGCGACACTCGGATAGTAGGGTCAGAATTTGGCATCAACATCATGTAAGCATGGAACCATTCTGCCTTGTATCAACGGATCAGCCTGGTGGTGGTGTAATGGTGTGGGGGATATTTTCTTGGCACACTTAGGGCCCATTAGTACCAATAGAGCATCGCATCAACACCACAGCCCGAGTATCCGAGTACCCGAGTATTGTTGCTGACCAAGTCCATCTCGTTATGACCACAGTATGCCTATCTTCTGATGGCTACTAGCAGGATAATACACCATGTCATAAAGCGTGAATCATCTCAGACTGGTTTCTTGATTACAATGAGTTCACTGTACTCAAATGTCCTCCACAGTCACCAGATCTCAATCCATTAAAGCAACTTTGGGATGTGGTGGAACGGGAGATTTACATCATGGATGTGCAGCCGACAAATCTGCAGCAACTGCAGGATGCCATCATGTCAATATGGACAAAATCTCTGAGGAATATTTCCAGTACCTTGTTGAATCCATGCCAAAAAGAATTAAGGCAGTTCTGAAAGCTAAAGGTCCAAGCTAGTACTAGTAAGGTGTACCTAATAAAGTGGCCGGTGAGTGTATATAATACGTACACACACATATTTTAAAACAAAATGTTATTTTGGATGCAATTAATCACTGCTAATCTTTGCCCGGCACTAATTAATACAAAAATTTAATTGTAAAAATGTTCTAATAAGAGCAATTGTGATTACTTATATTCCAGTACCTATTCTGACAATTTGAGTTTTTGTAGCACACAAACAGCAACACTGTTCATTTTACCTCTTAAAAGGTTTCATAAATACAGCTAAAATGTTGTCATTTAACAATAAGGTCCTAGTGGTGTTTGAATCAATGCATTTTTTTTAACAAATGATCGTGCCTCTATAAAACAGACTTTAACTACAAGCTCAAAATATGATCAACAGTACTTATGAATCTCAAGCACCAATAATAAGGATGCATGAAGGAAATAGTTCATTAAAAGTGCAGAGTCACTGACTAAGCAAGGTCAAGCTAAGTTCCCGAAAGCCACCATTAAATGCTTTTGCATGGAAGACTGCGCAGGGCAATTGGCTTATAACTGCCAAGTGAGAAACAAATGATGTGGAAAATGAAACTTGAGTAAATTTTCAGAGAGATGAAGCTGAATCAGGCCTCACCCAGACAGGCTGCTGCGCCCACCATGGCGTAGAGGCCTGGCGTGATGCAGTCCGTCCCAGGAGAGCACCAGCCTCTGAAAATGGCCCAGTCGTGGTGGTAGACAGCCAGCTGCTCCATGAAAACACCCAGAAGTCTGCCGGCTATGGCCCCGACCGCCATACTGGGGATAAATAGACCAGACGGCACCTGGAAAAAGAACAAGTAGTAGATTGATGAATAAATGAATGAATGAATGAATGAATGAATGAATGAATGAATGAATTGATGAAAGACTGAATGGATGGAGTAATAATTTGGATGAAGTCAAGGAATATATCAGTGTTGTTTTGTTAACTTAAATGAAAATTCTAAGGCCGACTTACACTGTGCAATTTTTTATAATCCTAAACGATTGTAGCATGTCAGACTGCACGAACATGGCTCCCATGTCACACTGTAAGATCTCAGCTATCATAAAGTCAGACTGAACGACAATGACGTCGTGCCAAACACAGAAGAAAACTCCCTCAGAGTTTGACGTCATCCATCCATGACACTTTCACCATCCCGTGTTCTGGAATGATTCCTCACAGCAAACATAAACAATCTGTAGCAGCAATTTTGCACACAGCATGTCTCAATAATAAAACCAGGAAGAAAATTCGCCATTTGAATTGTTGTATAGATTACGTCATGAGATTCTGAGCTCCTATTGGTTCTTGGATTGACGCTCATTGCAGCTGTTGTCACACTGCAGGAAAGTGTTTGAAATCTACTGACAATACCAGAAGAAAAATCTGATCGCAATGGGCATTAACCAGCTATCTGCGAACATGTCATGGAAAATACCAAAATAATTTAATTGAATTTTGTATACATAATTTTTATTAATGTTTATTATAATTTATTTCCTTTAATTTTTATTTGTTATATATGCGTGAGTGATGTTCGGGACAGTAAACAGGATCGTTACTAGTCCGATCGGACCAGTGCTGCTTTATCACTAAAGTTCAATTTGCCTGCGACTATTTGTCAACTGCGTGCAAACAAAAAATAAATAAATAAATCGTGAAACAGTTTGTGACTTCAAGCCTCTAAATGCTACCTTCTCTGTGATGTTGTAAACACCATATTGCTTTTCGGTTCCTCCTATCTGATTGTATGCTGTGAGCACGTTATTTTTTTTTTTTAGTACAGTGAAGAGACGGCAGCATGGTAACAACGTCAAATTATGAGGCTAAAAGAAACACGACATAAAAATGTGATGTTTTGCACAGTTTGCTGTCAGTTTAACAGGTCAGTCACCTTTTGTTTTGCAATAAAATACCTGCATATTTTCCATACTGCTATTTTTGTTTGGATAACACTTTGAATTTTGCTCATTATACATTTATTAAAATTTTTTGAAAAATTTTAATTCTAGAGTCACAGACGTTATGTTTGACACATTATTTCAAATATGTGGCTAAGAAATAGCTTTTGGCAGGGCAAGTAAAAATCTGATCCACTGGCCCGATCAGGCCAGTAGGAAAAAAATCCTTAGAGTTGAACCTTGTATATTATATTATATTATATTATATTATATTATATTATATTATATTATATTATATTATATTATATTATATTATATTATATTATATTATATTATATTATATTATAAATCAGTTTAATATTTTCTTTTTGGAGAAATTCTTATTTTTTGTTTGGCTGGAATAAAAGCAGTTATAATATATTTTTTAAACATTTGTTTATGGTTAATATTATTAGCCGCCTTACGATTTAACTTAACGAATAACTTGCCTAATTAACCTAATTTGCCTAGCTAACCTAATTAAGCCTTTAAATTGCACTTTAAGCTGAATACTAACATACTACAAAATAACTAGTCATCATGTCATCACTGTCATCATGGCAAAAAAAAAGAAATCCATTATTAAAACTATTATGTAAATATGTTAAGAAAAATTCCTCTGATAAACACCACATGGGAAATATTTTAAAATAATAACCATTTTTATAGAAGGGCTAACATTTTATATTTTTGACATAAAAAATATCCAAGTAAAAATAAATAAATAAATAGAGTCTACATTATTTTCATTCTTATTAAAAGACAAATCATAATAATTTCTATTACTTATAATAATGACACTTTATGTTGTTATGATAAATAAAAAAAAAAGTCTAAATATTCCTTAAACTTCACTAAGTGGCTGTTATGCTAACTTGGAGTGATTTTACTCTCAGATTAAAGTCTATTTTGCCTTCAGAATTACATCTAGGTCTATTACCTTCATGCCAAAAGTTGCGACAGTCATGACCATCTTGAAGAGCAGTGCAAGAGCCAGTTGCCACATAGCCGTATAAAGCCCTGGCCCAGCCGGCCGATCCGCCAGAGCATTAGCAATAGTAGCATTGACACTTCCTCCTCTTCCTCCACCGACACTAGTATAATTGCAGAGCTTGGAGGAGTCCAGCAGACTGCAGTCATTGAACAGCTCCGAGATCAATGTGCTGCTGCTCATGCGGGTGAACTCATTTGGGAATGCCAGAAATGCAGTGACCAGGGTGACTATTATGACCTCCAGGACGGGGTAGTGGCCAAAGCTGGTGTTCTTCCTCAAACGACACCAGGCAATGTTGGCACGAATGAAGAAAGCCCCCCAAAGGCCACCAAAGATGCCCAGAAGGATGAATGGTATGAGTTCCAGGAAATGCCAGGGAGTGTGAAACTCCACGTAGAAAAGCACCAAGCGGCTGTTGCCGAAGGGATTAATGGAGCGAAGGGTGAAAGCCGCAACCAAAGCTGCGAAGAATGAACGCCACAGAGTCTTCAGCGGGAAGTAGTAGCTGACCTGAAAAACAAAACATGCTGCTGTCAAATAAGGAGCATCACAAACAATTTGTTTGTAATGCAGCATGCAATGCCATTCAAAATGTTTTAGGGATGTTTATGTTTGTGCATCAATAAACGCTTGTTTTGTTGTGTGTCTTTCAAAAATATACAGTACAAGAATATTTATACATATATATGTACACCTATCCAGGTTTCATTGAATATGTAAGGGATAAAGTACATCCAGCCGGCTATTTTCACAGAATAAGGCCTGACAGGCTGATTAGCAAAATTCGGGGTACAGCACTGCGAAATGGGGCAGGATCAAACAAGATGATTAGACATAAAAAAAAAGGGAGCAATTGGTCCACTTTGCAAATTTTTGTCTTGAGTAGAAATGCAACGATTATATTAGTTAAGTATTTCTCTTTTAAAGGGATCAAATGTAGTTAAAGTCTGCTGAACCTCTGTCTGAAAGGCACTTTTGATCAACTATATTATGAACTTGTTTGGTATTTTTCATTTTGTATTTTTATTTATTTATTTAATTTGAGTAGAAACGTGTATATTCCATACAAAGTATGTAGCTGATCAATCAGCTCATGTCACGTGACTTGCGGTGTGCTTGCGGCATTCTAGCTGAACCTGAAAGGCATGAGCATGTCACTGCCAGTATGTGCGCGTAGACCGCACGCCTCAATTGAAAATAATGTCCTTGCCCACGCAAAAGACGGGATATGTGAATGGCCCTTAGTTAATAGCATCAGCCATAGTTAAAATCAACCAGCGTGTGTGTGTGTGTGTATTCACCTCAGTGTACAGCTCGAAACATTAAACTAGTAGCATAATTTTTAGTTGCAGCAGTTTTGTTCCTTGTAAAACGCGGTGTTGAGAAGCCTTTACAATTAACTAATGGTGACGAATTAAAGTGCGCTAAATAGTGAAAAGTTAAACTAATCTAAGCAAAAAAACATTGTTCTGAGCTATAATAGTTAACTCTTTAATTAAATGCTAATTTGACTGATCTAATGTCTTTTGCAGAAATTGCAACACAATTTAATATTCCCAAACAACATTTTTTTAAATTCCTTCAGTTAATGAGCTATCTTTCTTCTCATCAAGGTGCAAAGCTTACAAAGCCTAACAAAACACCCTGTTATTAAACCCTCGTTAATCAAAAGGTTTGGTATCCACGTTCTATACAATGTTAGAATCATGCTCGACAGAATCATCAGAATTTAAATTGGCTTCTGGAGAGAAAAATTAAACATAAATATTCCACTGGATGAATGGGTGGAAATATGTAAAAAAAGCTCAATCATTAACATTTAATAGTAATCTTAAATTAATACAGTACAATTGGATTATGATCACTCCAGTGAGGTTAAATAAAATTACCCAAAGTACCCCAGACACATGCATTAAATGCTCAGTTGAAAAAGATATACTTTTGCACTGTATGTGGGATTGCCCGAAGGCACAGGAATTTTGGAGAGGTGACCATGTTCACTTTTTAAATGGTATCTATAAAACTGCCCATTAAACCGGAAAATTTTTATTTTGGGAATTACTCATGAAAATCTCGATTGCCTTAAACTTATCGATACAAGTATACTCCAAGCAAAGCGTCTTATAGCTTTGTACTGGAGGAAAATGAATAGGGCATCTATTGCACGCTGGATTAGTAATATGTCCTTCTGTTCAGCTATGGAAAATATTTCATACATGTTAAAAGGCAAACTTACTGTTTTTGAGAAAATGTGGACACCCTATATACATATATCTTATTTCAAATTCAAATTTCAGCAATTCACTAAATGAAACAGGAAAAGACAAAATAAACTGACACTGACTTGTCCTATCTACATATTCCCCCTATTTCCAAGATTTACTTAAACAAACCATTGTCATATTGATGATCTGGTGCATGCCTTATATAAATGATTTGTATTTTCAACTATTTTTTTCCTAATGTTTTATCTAGAACAGGGGTGCCCAGACTCAACATAGTCTGGGCATACTCAACTGCACACATTTCAAGTACACCTAGAAACAGCTTGATTAGCTGCTTCAGGTGTTTAATTGGGGTTGGAACTAAAATATGCAGGACACCGGTCCTACAAGACCGAGTTTGGGCACCCCTGATCTAGAATAATCTGTTTCTCTTTTTTTCACATTTCCTTTTTATCCCCCTTTTTTTTATTTTATTTTTTTTTTTAGCTTTGTACGTTTTATTATTTAGTTTTTTAATATTGTTGTTTTTCCTCTAAACTGAAAACAAAGTTGTAAATATGATTGTTATGTTAAATTGATATATTTCTATTACATCTCAATAAAAAGATTGTTCACAAAAATGAAATTTTGACAGGAACAAAAATGGCTGAATGGAGCACACACTAACTTAGAAGATATATAGATAGATAGATAGATAGATAGATAGATAGATAGATAGATAGATAGATAGATAGATAGATAGATAGATAGATAGATAGATAGATAGATAGATAGATAGATAGATAGATAGATAGATAGATAGATAGATAGATAGATAGATAGATAGATAGATAGATTTTTGTAGAAAATAAAGTTAAAATATTACTAATTTCTGAAAATGCCTTGTTAGTGAGAACAATATCAAATGAAAGTAATACATGCCTTAATTGCATCACAGATATATATTCATATCATATACATATAGATATATTCATCATTTTTAATTAACACAAAAAAGGAAAAAATACAACATCTAAAACAGTGCTACAAAAAGAATCTAAAGGATCTACAAACAAAGTAAAGTGCTCACCTCTTCAAGACTGAAAAGCACACCTCCTATAGGAGCACCAAAGGCTACAGACACTCCAACTGCAGATGCTGCAGACAACACCTGATACACACATACACACATATTAACTTCATACAATCAATATCATAAATATCTCTCCACAAAATACACAACAAAACACATTTTCACCAAGCTAAACTCATGAACAATGAATTGCACAATTCCTGATGCACTTGATTGAGCCCAGACGAAAAAAAGTAAAAAGCCTGGTCTGTTAGCGATTTCTTTTACTAAATTGGCACTGGCAACTTCCAGCACATCAGTTACCAGAGTCCGAGCCAAGAGTCTTATATCAATGTATTACATTACAAGTTTTGATCCAAGACACAAAGTACTCTGTTGCTTTTCCGTCAGTCTATCCCACACTCCCCTCTCGCTTATCTCTCCATCATTCCATTCCTCCTCTCCTTATCTCCCGCCTCAGTTCCCCTCACCTCGCGTCTCTTGGCCTCGTTTCGACGGTATTTAGTGAAGAAATGGCACAAGATGTTTGCGCAGCAGCAGGCCACATGAACCAGCGGACCCTCCTTCCCCAAACTGAGGCCGGACGAGACGGCCAGCACCAGCGTGATGGTCTTTATGATCAGAGTCCACTTGCCAAGGTACCCTCGGATGATAAAGCCGCTCAGGATGGTCTTAATCTGTAAGAATGAAACACTGTTTATAAATGATTCAAAATAGCTCATATGAACTGGCTACTTCCCAAAACAAGAGCAGAGGAGCGGTTATTATTCACTTAAGCAGTTATTCTTGGCATAGGAATATGCTTTAATGGATAGGCATTAAAACTGTCTTTAAATCTCCTCTGACAACTCCTCCACACGGATTTAAATCCGTAGTACAATTACGATAATCTGACACGGGGTTTTGTCAGCCAGACAGTGTGACTTATGTCATTGTTCTCTCTGCCAAGGTTAGAAGTGCAGAAGCAGTTGTGGTTGAACATCTGAAAACATTTTGAGCATCTGAAATCAGTACATAAAACTGTACAACTCACAGAGATTGCACAGTTCACAGATAGGATCTGTTTGTCTTTATTTAATCTCTCACTTTACTCAGAATGTTTGAAATATAAAAGCAGGGAAAATAAAAAATAAATAAATAAAAAACAGGAGATAAAACGCTACTAAAATCTAATTTGCTAATTGTGCTTCAAGTGCCCTTTTAAAGTTCTTGCATTTTGCTTTGGAAGTCTGTTTTCAATATACAAAATTGGTTTTTATCTTTAGGGTCTACATGACAAAACTCTTTAAGTCGTTAATCCCAGTTGTAAGAGCAACACATAATAACTTGACTTCTAGTTGATCATTTGGAAAAGTGGCAGAAGGTAGATTTTTCAGATGAATCATCTGTTGAACTGCATCCCATTCATCACAAACACTGCAAAAGACCTATTGGGACCCGCATGGACCCAAGATTCTCACAGAAAGGAAAGATCATGGTTTGGGGTTACATTCTGTATGGGGACGTGCAAGAGATTTGCAAAGTGGATGGCAACATCAACAGCCTGCGATATCAAGATATTTGTGCTGCCCATTACATTATAAACTACAGGATAGGGCAAATTCTTCAACAGGATAGCACACCTTAAACTTTAGCCTCCACATCAACGTTCCTAAAAGCAAAGAAGGTCAAGGTGCTCCAGGATTGGCCAGCCCAGTCACCAGACATGAAAATTATTGACCATCTCTGAGGTAAGATGAAGGAGGAGGCATTGAAGATGAATCCAAAGAGTATTCATGAGAGTCCTGCAAAACATCTTTCTTTGCCATTTCAGATGACTCTATTAATAAGTTATTTGAGTCATTGCAGAGATGTATGGATGCAGTCGTCCAAGCTCATGGGAGTCATACACAATATTCATTCTTTTTCCACGGCACCATGACTTTATATTCTATAATGTACATTATTTCTGTAAAGTGACAAGCCTTTTGTCTAAACAAAGTCAGACCTTACAGTCCTAATTAAATAATTAAAAATCAAGGCATGATCATATTTTATTTTGGTAAAAGAAGAGTAATCTAGAGGCCTTTTCCTTTCATATTAGCCACTTCTGATGCCAAATGATCAACTTGAGGTCAAGTTATTATTTGTTGTTCCTAAAACTTGGACTTTTGTCAGGTAGTTTAACAAAAAAGGTTTTAAAAAAGTAGTGGTGTATATGTTTCCTCAAGACGAAATGCCAAATAAAAATAAAAAATCCAAAATTTTTCACGTTGAGTGTTTTAATGTTAATGAAATCAAAATATGCTCTTCTCATTTTTTACAGTGTGCTATCAGAATTTTCAGTAAATTAGTTGAGGAAATAAATCGGCAATTAATCGTGTTGCTCAGTCTTTCTTTCACTTTCGTATCTCGTAATATAACTTAAAGCAGGCAGACCATTACAAACATAGGAGTTTCAATGATCCGCGAAATCAGCAATTGTACATAACAAATTATTATCCAATGAATTTGTGCACTATTAATAAATTATATTAAACCAAATTATAGCTCTTACATATAGTAAACTTGTTTTAAACTGTGTATACTGCATGTGCACTTCAGAATTTTGTAAACACTTCCCCTTATCTTTAATTTAAAAATGATAACTTTCTCCTTCCCCTTCTTGAAATGACTTTTCTTCATTTCTGGTCACATGAAATGCCTTTTAGGAGGAGCTACCAGTCTTTTAAGGTGGGTCTATTAGGACATGTCCCCATCCGCTTTGCCTTCATACATTCATCTTTTTTTTTATTTGTTAGCAACATCCATCTTCAAACAATCCAATCATTTCCCAAAGGACAAAATTATGCACTGTCCTACTTTATTATTTTTAATATTTCCAAACTAGTGGCATTGTGGTTCAGTGGTTAGCACTGTCACCTCAAAGCACGAAGGTTGCTGGTTTGAATCAGGGTTGGCATTTCTATGTGTAGTTTGCATGTTCTCCCTGTGTTTGCGTGCGTTTCCTCCGGTTTCCCCTACAGTCCAAAGACATGCAGTATAGGTAAATTGAATAAACTAAATTGGCCATAGTGTATGAGTGTATGTGTGTGAAAGAATGTGTATGGTTGTTTCCCAGTATTGGATTGCAGTTGGAAGGGCATATGCTGTATATTAAAAAAAATGCTGGAATAGTTGATGGTTCATTCCACTGTGGTTCAATTCACTATGACCTCTGAAATAGAGACTAAACTGCAGGAAAATGAATAAAAAGATTTTAAGACTGTTTCAAGTGGATGTACGTCATGACAGAAGAAAAAAAAAAAGCACAATATTAACTTTAGTTTTAAGGCGACTTTAAAAGGTATAAATCTGACATGACTATTAAATTTCTTTTACAATCAGAGCAGACAGAGAGGTTTCTTAGTCATGATTTTATCACCCTAGAGCTGTACAAGTCAGCCATAAAAACATTATCTCTGGGAACCACAATGCTCTTTTTGTAAAGCAAAAACATGCCTATTCTATAATTCTTGTTTTGAAATTATTTGTATCATGAAAAGTGTAAGCAAATAACCGTGAATGAACTGAAGTCTCCAACAATACGTTCATTTAATATTTAATTAATTTAATGTTATAATACATTTAGGCATGACCTTTTACTGAAAGGGTTGGATCAAAGATCTGTATTCTCTACTCTGATTGGTTGGGTGCTGTTTGTCATGACTGGTCTACCGCTTACCGCATGAATTGCACCAAACTACTTCTGAATTTCAGCTTCAGGGGCTTAATAAAGCACAATGATACATACAGTTACAATGGAGTATGGGTTTTCATCCTTAGGAATTGCGTGCAAAGTGGGTTTAATTTTCTCAGTGCATAAAAAAACATCTCCTTGACATGCTGACCACACAAACCACACTTTTCAAAGTCTTCAGCATCAACTACAGTGCTCGAGGCTCAAAGTAGAAATTGTTTACAGGCGGCCAATCAAGACCATAGGTCTGCATTGTGAAGATTTGCTACAAACATTACAATAAGTTTCCATTAGTCAATGTATTTACTAACATGAACTAAGAATGAACAGTACTTTTGCACCATTTATTAATCAAAATTTAACATTTACTAATGTATTATGAAAATACAAAAGTACAATTTCAAATATCCGACTTCCTGTTGGGTTTGACATCCTGTTGGGTTTGACATTTTGAAGATATATTGAAAATCATGTGTCTCCTCACAGTTTGTGCCTCATTTTGCTAGTATTAACTTACACGGCAAGTTAAAACTAACAATGAACAAAAATATTTTGATTAACTAACATGGCCACTTTACAGTAAGGTTCATTAGTTAATTTGTTTACTAACATGAACTAATTATGAACAATACTTATGCAGCATTCATTAATTATAATTCAACATTTACTATTGCAATACGAACATCCAAATTCATGCATATTAACATTGGTTAATGCACTGTAAGTTAACAAGAACTAACAATGAACAACTTTGCATTAAGTAACATGAACAAATACTGTACTAAATGTAATATTCATTGTTTGATCATGCTAGTAAATGCATTAGCTCATACAACCTTATTGAAAAGTGTTACACATTGTTCAGCGTTTGTATATGTTATTATACATGTTTCCATGATTATAATTATTAGTTTTACATGTATTATTATTATTGGCATCACTGTAGCCGTCCTAACAATATATTACTTTTATCATCATCAACTCTAGTATTATTACTGATATTATTTATTTTATTTTATTATTATACTTATTATTGCGACCATGAATGCAAAATATCATCTAAACAACAATCTATATTAATAAGTGCTGTTAGCTATGTTTCCATCCAAACATGCTAATTTAAATTATGCACAAAACTGGAATATCACATAAAAGACGTGTGAATAAAGCAGCATTTCCATTCAAAGAGTCAAAGTGAATTAAATCATCACTTCCTTAAAAATGTAATTTGCTGCGGTAGAATCTGTGTCAATCTTTTCCTTATTTAATAAATAACTTGCACCTCAGAAGACAAATGCAGACACGCAATGAACACGGTGTCGTTTGAAGACGTGAGATGCGGAGCGCAGATGCTCTTGACAATTTTAGAGGAAATTAATAATATAATAAGACTAATACTAAAAGAGTTAAGGTGTTTTAGATTGACCAAACACACAAATTGAATAGATGTGTCTATTCGCACACATTTTTAACATCACATGATCTCTTATAACAAAATCACATGACTTTATTTAATGTGCACACTGGAATTTGTTCTGTAAGTGTTTCCGTCGTAGTTTATGTTTATCTTACTCAGTTATGCGCATATGTTCTTCAAGTGCATTTTCTAAATTTATGCGCATCTTGACGTTTCCAACGGCTCAGTTTTTTATGTGCATATCCAAAATAACCATAAAAATAGGTGGATGGAAACATAGCTATTATACACACCTTTGTTTCTGTTTTATTACTGTTTATGTGCTCTGTGTTTACAATATGTTGTATGTTTTGCACTCACAATAAAAAAAACAAACAAATAAATAAATAAAATACTATTATGGTTTTTGTACTAGAGTAACAAGTCTAATGGGTCATTTCACGCTGTTTAAAACTCCTAGTATTTGAGAAAATAACTCCATTTATAACATTTAGATCTTTGAAGCTTTAACATTTTATTTTTTTACATTTACAAGAATCTTAAATATGCACTAAATGAAAGCTAATATCTAAAAAAAACATTAAAGGGGCACTTTAACAAGGTTGCCTCAATTTAAAATAAGAATTGCAAAAATAACTTTATTTATATAAAATGGACGAAGGAAAAGTGTGCTTGAATGTGCAGAAACATACATGACATATTGTGTGTAAGGATTTAAGCAGGATCTTACCTCTGGAATTCCTGAACCGCAAGCGTAAGGAGCAAAGGCTCTCACGAGGATCACAGCCAGAAAGGAGAAGAAAAGAGCCCAGCACACGTACATAAAATAACTCGCCATATACGCATACCATACAGTGCTCTGCAAGACACACACACACACACACACACACACACACACAAAACAAACAATATGCAGGTGAATTCACTGAGGCTTATACAATATCACCCCCTATAGGACACATATACACAGATATATTTTACATATGGTGATCTCACAAAATGACGCCAATGAAACTTTATTTCTAAATTTGAGTCTAAAATTGATCAAAAAATTTATTATGAGGGATTTGAGGGAGTCTGACTTCATAATTAAGACTTGAACCACTCTTATTAATTCTTTAACTTGAAGATCTAATAATGTAATTAAAACATTGTTATAATTATTGCATATGAAGTTGTATTCAGGAAAAGTGTGAAATCCAATGAAAATATAGTGGTAGTATTTATACAAAAGTACAGAATTAATCTAGCGTGAAAAAAACATCCATTTTATCCATTGTTATAACTTTAAAACCAATATTGCAGTTTTGGTTTCACACCACAAGAGGGAGGTATAGACTGCTGGACAGGAGTTTGAAATCAGCCTTTTTTGGGAGAGGGTGCTCGCTGCAGAGCCATTTGAGGAGAGGTGAGCTCCAGAGAGGGGGAGCATGAGCTGTCGCTCCTCCTCCTGTAAGCTGTTTTAATGCGTACACCAACCCCACCCCTAACCCTACCCCCAGTGACATCACTCGTAGAAGAAGTGCAAAAAAGGTGGAGCTCAAGCTTAAGCTCCCCCTCTCTGGAGCTCACCTCTCCTCAAATGGCTCTGCAGCGAGCACCACTTGTTTTTTGGGGGAGATATTAATACTTGTATGCAGCATTGGTCAATTAAACTGATACAATGTGATAGTAAAGACATTTATAATGGTAAATGTACAATGCTAATTTGATAATACAAAATTTTATATACATTTTTTCCATTTATTATTATTATTTTTTGCTTCTCTTGATTTTTTTTTGATTACTAGTTTTTGGACTGTTATTGTAAGTTATTTTGTTAGATAAGCTCCAGCTTTGGCTTTAGTACTGACTAAGCTAATGGATATGTACGAATATAATATTGTATAGCTTCCTATTTAAAAATATGAATTTAAAAGAGAGATTTGTGAGGGCACTGTACATCTCTTTGAAATCCTTTTCTTAACATTTTTGTTCAAAGAATCCTCAAAAACACAACACACTACTTTTTTTGCCATAGATTGTAAATGAATGTTACTTGGGCACTGATTTCTAAAGGATCATGTGACAGATCTGCAAATCATATATAAACACTGCATTTCAAAATAAATTAAATAATAAAACAAAAAGTAGTGCATTCTTGGTGAGCATAAAAAACTGCATTTCTAAAATATGAATACTCTATTTAAAAAAAACTCTACTGTCCTCAAATGTTTTTTTCCAACTGGAGCTCATTTCATTAAGGCTTTATAAAATATTAATGCCATACATTTGTTTGAAATCAATCTTTGAGCTAAACCTGCTTGGAAAGTGTTACGACTGAAGTTTATTTATTTATTTTTATTATTGCGGATTGTACTCCTTTTTCTTTTGTCCCGCCTCCTTGCTGTTTTTCTGATGTCTTATAGGCTCCCACGCCGGCGTGATTCCCTGCTCTGATTGGCTGCTGGTCTACGAGGCCTGTATAAAAGGGAGCTTCCGGCAGGAATCGGAGAGCTCATTTCTGCTGCGTGCTGTGTTTGGAGTGGAGCTCCTGGGTTTCCCTCACCCCTTCGGCCGACGACCAACATTAATCACTTTTGTATTGATGACCATCCTATGCTTGAATATTTATTGAGAGTTTGAGCGTGTAGGGGTGACCTGCCTATTTATTTGACTACTTTTGACTTTGTTTATATTAGGGAGTCAGGTAAGATTTTTGTATGTTTCTTTAAATAGTAATAGGTAATTTAGTGGATTTATTTTATAGATTCTTTTGTTTGTTATTTTGGCCTGTGGTCACCCTGACGAAATGCTCGTTTATACAAACCCTTTTTTTCTATAATAAATATCTTTATATATACTCTCAATTGAGTGTGTGAGTTTGGTTGTCGACCGAGGGGAACATTTTGCTTTAAGTTTTGTTTAGTTTGGGAAATCCACCACCCCAACACATTTGTTTGTTCTTCGTTTATTATGCCCTTTTCGTTTCCCCTAGACTTGGGGCGTAATAATTGGGGGCTCGTCCGTTTTTTCCTCATCCAAATTTAGTTTAATTTGATCTGTTTTTTCGTTTAAATTTCGCGTCCGGAGAGAAATCTTGTGACATTGCTGGTGAGTACCATTTATATATTCTCTATTTTTGGTGACTGGAAATTTGATCTTGTGCTGTGGGGAAAGGTTGAGATTATGGAGTTTAGCATAGAAGCGTTTAAACAAGCTCCTTCGTGGGAACTTTTGGAGTCATACCGAAAGGTAAATGCCGTGACGAAACCCGATTCGTATCCCCTTCCATTAATGGAAGATTGTATTGAGAAAGTAGGCTCTGCACGTTTTGTCACAAAATTAGATCTGTTGAAGGGTTACTGGCAAATAACCTTGACGGAGCGTGCTGCTGAAATTTCTGCTTTTGTGACGCCAGATGACTTTCTGAATTACTCGGTGATGGCTTTCGGGCTACGGAACGCTCCCGCCACCTTTCAGCGCTTAATGAATATAGTGCTCAGTGGAGTGTCTAATTGTAAAGCGTACCTCGACGACGTTGTCATTTATTCTGACACATGGGACGAACATCTGTCAACACTGAGAACTGTGTTTTGTCGTTTGCGAGATGCCTCTTTGACACTTAATTTAAGTAAGTGTGAGTTTGGTAAGGCGACTGTTACCTATTTGGGAAAGCAGGTGGGACAGGGGGAAATTCGACCTGTCGCTTTGAAAGTGCAAGCCATTGTAGACTTTGCCGTTCCCCGAACGAAACGTGACCTTCGGAGATTTTTAGGAATGGCCGGTTATTATCGGAGTTTTTGCAGGAACTTTTCAGATGTTGTGCTGCCTTTGACGAATTTGCTTCGCGTTTCAAATGAGTTTGAGTGGACGGATGAATGTCAGTCCGCGTTCGATTCTGTCAAGTCTCTTTTGAGTAATGCTCCAGTGTTAATGGCTCCAAATTATTCACATGTGTTCAAGTTGGATGTAGATGCGAGCGCTACGGGCGCAGGTGCTGTCCTACTTCAGGATGACTCGAATGGTGTGGAACATCCTATCGGCTATTTCTCAAAGAAATTCCTGAAGCACCAGCTCAATTATAGCACCATTGAAAAGGAGACGTTAGCCTTGCTTTTAGCTTTGCAACACTTTGAAGTGTTTATTGGCTCTAGTTCTCTGCCCGTGCTTGTTTTTACTGATCACAATCCACTTGTCTTCTTGTCACGGATGAAGAACGCAAATCAGCGCATTATGCGCTGGAGTCTATTTATTCAAGATTTTAATATGGATATTCGGTACAAGAAGGGAAAAGATAATGTTCTCGCCGATGCTTTATCTCGATCATTTATTGTCGAGTAATCTACTACGTAGATTCTTTGTGTGTGGGAGTGTTACGACTGAAGTTTATTTATTTATTTTTATTATTGCGGATTGTACTCCTTTTTCTTTTGTCCCGCCTCCTTGCTGTTTTTCTGATGTCTTATAGGCTCCCACGCCGGCGTGATTCCCTGCTCTGATTGGCTGCTGGTCTACGAGGCCTGTATAAAAGGGAGCTTCCGGCAGGAATCGGAGAGCTCATTTCTGCTGCGTGCTGTGTTTGGAGTGGAGCTCCTGGGTTTCCCTCACCCCTTCGGCCGACGACCAACATTAATCACTTTTGTATTGATGACCATCCTATGCTTGAATATTTATTGAGAGTTTGAGCGTGTAGGGGTGACCTGCCTATTTATTTGACTACTTTTGACTTTGTTTATATTAGGGAGTCAGGTAAGATTTTTGTATGTTTCTTTAAATAGTAATAGGTAATTTAGTGGATTTATTTTATAGATTCTTTTGTTTGTTATTTTGGCCTGTGGTCACCCTGACGAAATGCTCGTTTATACAAACCCTATTTTTCTATAATAAATATCTTTATATATACTCTCAATTGAGTGTGTGAGTTTGGTTGTCGACCGAGGGGAACATTTTGCTTTAAGTTTTGTTTAGTTTGGGAAATCCACCACCCCAACACATTTGTTTGTTCTTCGTTTATTATGCCCTTTTCGTTTCCCCTAGACTTGGGGCGTAATAGAAAGTTTAAATGTTTGTTTGGAAAACTACAAACATCTGACAAAAGCATACAAGAAAAAAACATTTTCATCAGTCAAATAGATGTCAATTGTGTGACATTGAGTGTTTGTGAAATCTCATGTCAGAGAAAACATGAATGATGAATTTGATTTGAACACATTTCAGTGAGAAGGTCATGATTTGCACTTGTTTAATAAATACTTTATATAGCTTTATTTTACATCCTTGAGAGATACAAAACACAGATGTTTTGGCAAAATTCTGCGCTTTGAGAAAGGCATTGTGCCGAAAGTCTGTGTTTTGTATCTCCCAAGAATCTAAGGTAACACTTTACAATAAGGTGCATTAGTTAATGCATTTACTAACATGAACTAATCATGAACAGCACCTGTACAGCATTTATTAATCATAATTGAACATTTATTAATGCATTATTAACATTCCAGTCCATGCTTGTTAACATTAGTTAATGCACCATGAGTTAACATGAACTAATAATGAACTACTGTATTTTCATTAACTAACGTTAACTAACATGAACAAATACAGTAGTAAATGTATTGTTCATTATTTGTTCATCTTAGTAAATGCATTAATTAACATTACCTAATGAACCTTATTGTAAAGTGTGACCGAATGTAAAATAGAGCTATATACAGTAACTATTTAATGAGTGCAAATCATGACCTTCTGAATGATATTATTAACAAGATAAAATCACCCAAAAAAAATTTAAAACCACAAGTGTGCAGTACAGACCTCAACAAAATGCTGAAATGATAACCTATGTAATATTCTCCTCCAGTTTTTTTATTCAGTGTTTATTCACTGGATTTGTAACCCACCTCACTGACTCCAACCATGAGCTCTGCCCAGCTCTTCCACTGAGGACACTTGTCTCTTTCCTTGAAAGTGGTCCCATTGTACGTCCAGCAACAGTCCTCATGATTGAACCAGAACCCGTCCTGGCACACGCCCTCTTTAAGGTCAGTCATCCAATGAGCAGCAATGTCTATACCTCCAGCCAAAGCCCCTGGTGAAGAGAGAGATGACTTTCAACAAGCCTTTTTTCCACACAATAATGAAATCACTCCTATATACAATTGTATGTATTTATGACGAATTTCTTATTTTAAATAGCATATCTATGACTTAAGGCATGTATTTTCTTACATTGCTGAAATACCTATTTCTGACACAAAGGAATAACAAGCTTTGGTATAGAAATATAATTTTATGAAGAAAAAAAAGTGATATAAATAAGATTTTAAATGTATTAGAAATATGCTGGGATATTAATCTTCACATCAAAAAAGGCATAATTACCAAACATAAAAAAGCCCAAATGAAGTCATAAAAGTTACATTACATTACGGTAAAAAGTCCTGTTTCTCTCATAATTTACTACTTTTTACATAAATTATTTGTTCATAACTATGAGTTACCCTTTCCTTTTGCATCTTTATGATTAAACACAGTAAGTGTGAACTAAGCACTAATTGTAAGACAAGACAAGGCAAACTTTATTTATAGAGCACAATTTTATACAACGGTAGATCCAAAGTGTTTTACAATAAAATAAACTAGACAATAAAACAAAAATGATATTAAAATACAAGGAAATGTATATGTTTAAAAGTTATACTAAAATACAAATAACAAAAAAGTAACATGCATGCATCACTCAAAGGCAAGAGAGTAAAAATAAGTCTTTAAGTTAGATTTAAAAGCATCCAATGAAGGAGAAATCCTAATGTTCAGCAGGAGGCTGTTCCAGAGCCTTGGGGCCGCAACACAGAAAACTCGCTCACCAAATCGATATGCAAATCTACTGCATACAGGTAATACCCATCACAAAAAAAGCTGGACTTAATCAAGAAATGAGAATTAAAGCAGGTAGCTTGGAGTTAAACAGGAAGTGGGAAAGCCATAAGCTGACCTGACATGAGTCCAATGAGAAGCATCAGAAGCCAGCCAGAAAAGGCATCACTGATGCTGAAGAGCAGAGCCAGAGTTGAATGCTTACTCTTGTTGGTGATCTGAAAGAAACATAAGGTTTTTAGCACAGGAATTAGGAATGAGGCAGCACAGTGGCTCACTGGTTAGCACTGTCGGCTCACAGCAAGAAGGCAGCCTATTCGAGTCCCAGCTCTATCAATTGGAATTTCTGTGTGGAGTTTGTATGTTCTCCTAGCTCCGGTTTCCCCCACAGTCCCAAAAGTGTGTGAATGTGCGAGTGTGTACAAAATGGCTGTTTCTCAGTACTGGGTTGCGGCCAGAAGGACATCCGCTGAGTGAAACGTATGCTGGAATAGCTAGAGGTTCATTCCGCTGCAGCGACCCTTGATAAATAAGGGACTGAGCCGAAGGAAAGCGAATGAATGAATTGGGCATGCATCTTCATAATTGGACAGATACCCTGCTCACCTCTCGATGTCGATCTCTGTCTCTGGACTTTTCTCGGACCCAGTCAATGGTGTTGAAGTCCTCATAGGTGCCAATGCCAGAAACATCCAGCAGATCCATTAGCTTGGGACTGCTGTTCGGTCTCCAATCTGCTTTACAATGGCCTGCGGGAACAAAACATGACAAAATACTCATGGGAAACCAGCAGATATGAGGATTTTAGCATGCAGCTCTACATGGCCATACAATATTTTCTATTGTGAAAGCAGAATGCAAATAAAATGGCTATTAATGACAGACAATTCCCATTGTGGTCCAAGCGCAATCATAGATAACAACCAGTTTGCTATTGTATTGTCTATCTGAATTGTTGGCATGTGTAAAATCGCTGGCAGGTCAAAGCTAACGCACTTCGACAGAGCCAGACAAACTCAACTAGAAGAGAAGGACTGGAGCTGACCTCAATCGCCGACCACAAATAACAGTGGATGAAGTCAAAGTCAAAATACAGGAAAGACGGGAAATGGTGAAATGATACAAACATGTTTACGCATTACATAAAGCACTTTAATCTGCCATGTTTATTCAGAAACAATAGCTAACACAGAATAAAAAAAAAATAGCCTGAAGATTTCTAAGAACTAAACTACAATATTTATTGTTCATGATAATATCACAATAGTTGTTTTAACAATGTAAAAGCTGATGTTATCAAGTAGGTCACGCGCATTGCAAACAAACAAAACACGCAAAAGCAACATTCAAAAGCACTCGCTGCATGATAAAGCCTATAAGACTGACCCTATAATGAAGACATGTTATGCAAGCAAATCATTATGGGTTTGTGTTTTATAATAATAAGATGTGACATGATTAAGTAACACAAGCAAGAGTGCTGTCTTCAAAAAGATCAGCATATGAACAGAAATCTGCTTGTGATATTGATAATATACAATAGGGCTGTGCAATTTGGGAAAAATATCGAATTGCAATAATAATAATGCGATAATACGATGTCGATTTGATTTAAGATTTAATTTTGTAGCTTCAGGCCAATATTCTGTATCATAGATTCTTACAGTTCAAATGCAGTGAGGAGTGTTCATTAAAAAAAAAGAAACTAAAAAGATATTAACCAATTTCAACTTATTCAAATTTGTTTATAAATATTCAGAAATGAAACACAAATTTTTCTGTGGAGCAAACAGTAGTGAGTTATGGCGTTAGATATCTACTGGTGACTTTGAGACGTTTTTTCAGATGGTGTAACAGCTGCAAACAACTCCGAAATTGTACTTGTACCTGTTCACTTTGAAACCAAGATGTTCTCATATAGCCATCTGTGGTGATTTTATAAGTTCTGGTTGTTGTATTTCCTCGTGCTGTGGCAACAATTCTGCGATAGCTCTTACAAATGACCTGTTTTGGTCAGTGTGACTTTGAAACCAAGATGTTCCCATATTACCAACGTGCTGTTTTTCTTTGATTTAAATTCATCTGTTAATGCTTCTGAAGCGGCAGACACCATCATGCCACTCGTTCACGCTTTCCTGTTTGTTTGTTTTTTTATTGTGGGCTTTCTGCATAGTTTGTTTGTGCAATTCTAATTGGGCAGAACAAAAGTGTGCTCACTCAATTGGCTAGTACGACTATCACACACAGACTACAGTCACACATTTGCTCTGGGTGGGGGAAATTATATAATACATATATTTATTTTATATCGCAGCCTCTTGTGATTAGCTAATCGAAACGTTTGAAATCACATTCGTGATTCGATTTGGATTAATCGCACATCCCTATAATACAAGTTGAACAAACAAGAAGTTATTATTAGGGAATTAAATTTTTAGACTTAACATTGTCTGTTTTGTTTCCTTTTGTTTGTTTGTTTCTATGTAGACAAAGTAGAACATCTGTGTCTCAGAACAATGTGGTGTTTAGGTACTAAATTTAGATTTTCAATTTATGGTCATACATACCCTGCGATAGTTTAGATGAACACTTAGCAAACTGTCTTTTAGTACTGACCAAAGTAATCATAAATGATACAAAGCAGGGTGTGAATATACATTGATGGGGGGTTGGCAATTATTTTGGTAATGTTTGTTTACATACAATGATTCAACACATAACTAGGATTCGAAATGATGTTCCTTGCCAGCCTTATGAGGTTCTTGTGATAGGAACAATAATATCATTTCTCATGAGACTCTTCTACTATCTTTGAGCAGATTTTAATCTGGTTCACCAACTTTGTTTATAGACTCACAGACAGACTCGTATACCATACAGAATTACAATACTGCAGAACACTCATAAGTACAGACAAAAAAAAAATTCAAGAATCTTTTTCGATGCTCCAAAAGATCTAAGACGTCACAGAAAATAAATTATTTTTTTCATATTTTTACGCACACTATCAATATGATCTTTCCTTGTTGTCTATTTTAACACCTAAATACTTATGTGTCTACCTGTTTGATGTTTACATTATGTATAACAACTGGGTTTGTACATACATCAGGACCTGAACACAATTTCCTCTGTTTCACAAGAGCTTGTCGCACCACTCAACAAGTTTATTTACACCTTGCTGGTGCAATTCTGTAACTTCTACCTGGCTTAGTAAAACCTTCAGTGCTCTAGATTTGCCTGTTACAAACCACTTAAATATTATTTTTTTTGTCAAGAGCATGCATTAAATTGATCTTTAGTTATCTATTATCTAAATTATTAATGTTATTTAAGATGCAGATGAGCGCAAACTATTTCTCAACAATTTAAAAGTAAAGACCCCCCGAACATCTAGTTTTGATGTTGTTCAGGGGATCAAGCATTAACTCCCCTGTTATTCACACCGTGTATATAAATGTTCATTTAACAAACGATACTTAAAAAATCCTAAGAGATATGTAAGCCCATGAAGAAATCCACAGATTTTTTTAGCTCATCATTAAATCTATTTACTTGTATAATTGTGTTTAAATATATATTAATTCTGTTTTTATATTAATTTCAGTATTAATATATTAACTAATATGCAAATATTCATATTCTTTAAGTTATATTTTGTCTTTTAGTGGAAATAATAAACGGGACTTGCTGTCTTTACCAAACAAGTGGATCTAATTAGATTTGCATATTAAACCTTAAAGTTACAAAAGTTATTTTTTTTATTTAAATCTTTTATGTTTTTAGTTACTATTTTGACCTAAATTTAGCGTGGAAATAGCAAAAAAAAAAGTCAGCAAATTCTCTCCGGCCCTGATATGTCATGTAATGCTATGGTTAGAATCAATATAAGGACAACATAAGGTTCAAGTACAGACTAGATGGAAGCTGATAACCGTACAGGAGATTTAGGCTAATGTCTTAACAAACATCAGTATGCAAATAAGTCATATGTCAAAGTGAAGCGAGGGCCACGTCAAATGTGTCAGATCAAACGAGTTCAGCCTGTTTGACAGAAATAGAGTGAAAATCACCAGGTCTCCGGACAGGTTTTAAACCAGCACAATACAAAATGAAACATTCAGGTTCAACTTTAAACAAGACAGCACGAGGTTTTCGACATCACACATATAGTAAAGTATTGCTACTGGCTAAAAGGCTGTGTTTCCTTTGTATATATGACAGATTTGTGCTATATTTTTTGCCTGTGCAGAATTTATTAAAAGGAGTCACCCATGAATTGTCACTTTCTGACTTTTTTCTGACACACAAATTTTAAAAGGAATTTTTGAACTGCTTAATCCCATACAGCGAAAGAGAACAGAGAACATACATACAAAGAACCAAAAAATGGCATCTTTGACGAGCAATTTATAAAAAAAATAAGACTTTTTTTGTAAACATTTTCAATCCCAAACCTCACTTCCAGTCAATTTATGAAAAAAGCAACCTTTGCATTCTGCTTAACATTTCCTTTTCTGTTCTGTGAAAGAAAGGAAATCATAAAACTGTGCTGTAGTGATGTGAAGAGAAGTCATTTGTATATTTTGGAGTAGTTAAAAGTTATCCTTTTAAGAGAAACACTACCCCTCAAAGTAAAAGTAGAAATGAATTTTTACTTTTAGCAGAGATGCTGCTTAGTGAACAGTGACAGCAAGAAAAATAAGTTACAAATAACAAATGCTGATTAAAAAAATCTTAATATACATTTCAAATAATTGCTGTATGTACACTCATCAGCCACTTTATTAGGTACACCTTGTAACGGGTTGCTTTCATGTTGTTGACGTCAAATTGTGACCCTACCATTCGAATGTCGTAGCAGAAATTGAGACTCATCAGACCAGGCAACGTTTTTTTTTTTTTTTTCAACCTTCTATTGTCCAATCGTGGTGAGCCTGTGCAAATTGTAGCCTCAGTTTCCTGTTCTTAGCTGACAGGAGTGGCACCCGGTGTGGTCTTCTGCTGCTGTAGACCATCCGCCTCAAGGTTGGACATGTTGTGCATTCAGAGATGCTCTTCTGCATACCTTGATTGTAATGAGTGGTTTTAAAGTTACTGTTGCCTTTCTATTAGCTTGAACCAGTCTGGCCATTCTCCTCTGACCTCTTGCATCAGAAAGGCATTTGTGGCCACAGAACTGCCGCTCACTGCAAATGTTCTCAATTTTGAACCATTCTCTGTAAACCCTAGAGATGGTTGTGCGTGAAAATTCTAGTAGATTAGCAGATTCTAAAAAACTTAGACAACCATGCCACGCTCAGTCACTTAAATGACCTTTCTTCCCCATTCTGATGCCAGGTTTGAACTTCAGCAGATCGTAGTATGTGTTACGCAGGTAAGTGTATGTGTTTTTATGTGTATAATTTTAATTCTTTGATGTATCAGGTTATGCTACAATACTCATGAGTCCACAAAAAATATCTCCCTTAACACAAAGTATACAAACAAATAAAATGACTGGTGACATTTAAGCAAATTTTGAACATAGAAGTTATTTGAAATCGTAAACAGTTTACAGTATGTCTGGTTTTACTTTATTGTTGATGAAATAATTGCAGCCTTGTTAAGCATAAAAGACTTAATAAATCATTGAAAACAAATATAACCGACCCTATAGAATACAGACATTATATCAGCACCGCAGATGAATAGTTACGTAGCTAACAGTTAAGCAAGGGAACAGCTTTAATTCACACAGAAATTAAAT